AAACTTCCAAGAATTTTAAACATAATTGATTAACAATTTAATTGTTGGTAGACATATGTCCAAAAAAAATAACTGAGTAACATATATTGAACTTTGCAATAGTTGTAGTTTATTAAATTGAATAATTTTGAAACATAACATGTATATTTTACAGCACGAAAAATAGCATCTAAACTAGGTAATAAAAATTCATCTTAATATTATTTAATATTATTAATATTGTGATTTCAAATGGGAAACATATTTTAAACGTGTGATAACTGAGAGGTATTTTGAACTACAGAGGGCCTTTTTGAGGTAAAGGCACACCCTGCTATGAATTCCTAGATTCGCCTATGTATTAGGAGGCACAGCGAAATCCATCTTAAATTTTAAGTGGATCATTTCTAATTATATCCTAATTAATAATACATTTAATACTTCAAGTACCTATATAAATATATATGATATTTATGGTACACCCACTAAGTACATATTATACTATTGTCTATTAATAAATAATTATTATATGTATGTCAATCAACTGTGTACCGTGTAAAATATCCCACATTAGACTATTATTTTCATTTGATTAAATCGAAATGAATCGTATGCAATTATTGTACAATATTTAAAAGTTCTTCTCGTTTCAATTTACCGGCTGGAGATCTAGGCACGTCGTCTACGAATATGATACCACCCCGCAGTCTCTCGTGGTCTTTCACTCTGTCTGAAAAATATTTTACCGAAAAATGATAAATACAAACCGAACACATTTCGACAAGACATATTAATATTCTATTGTCTATGACTGTATAGCGTCTCACCATTGACATACGATAAGAGTCGGTCGGGTTCGACGTTTTGACCGGGTTTGACTTTGACAACTCCTACTAACAAATCTCCGTCAACACTGTACTTTCCCGTCACTCCGGCATCGAGTACGGCAGGATGACTCAATAAAACGGTTTCTATGTCGATCGGCGCAATCTATAAGCATATTTCACATCAAAGAAGAAAAAATCAGTTATTGCACGTAATTGATGGGGCGTTTCGAACGAAATTCGATTCGAATGTCGTATCGTCGTACCCTCTGGTCCTTGTAAATCATCAACTCTTTAATTCGACCGACGATGAACAAACAACAGTCGTCGGTGTAGTATCCCACGTCGCCGCTCTTGAACCAACCGTCCTCGTCGTACGAACAAATCGTTTTTTTCATGTCGTTGACGTAGCCCACCATGTCGGAAACCGATTTAATACGAATTTCGCCTTCGACATTGGGGCCGACACATTCGCCCGTTTCCAAGCTGACGATCTAAACAAACAATGTTTACGATACATAAATATACTCACGACAAACGTTTTGTTTTTCTCGACTCACTCTGATTTCAATACCAGCTGCAGGTCTGCCCACCGACCCTGCCCTGACGGTACTTACATCTGAATCCATAGACCAAACGGCTATGATACCCTGTTCTGATGCACCGTACCCCTGTTTGATCGGTATCCTCCCCTGCAGTAAGTTGTTTACAACTGTCTTTTGCAAATCTGCTCGCATCGGAGACCCGCCAACCACGCATGTCGTTAAACTCTGTATATTATACTTGTGACCGTTCGCCATTTGACAGGCCATCATTTCATTGACTGCGGCCACACCAGTCATCAGGAATGTTGGCTATGAATTATAATTCATAAACTTACGTAAATAATATGGCATACGTTATAACGGTATTTTAAATACATTTGTATTTATTTATTTAAAGGTATTAACGGGCATAATGACCAATGACAAATGTTGCAACAGTACCTATAATCTAAAAATGAATGTATTATAATAAATAATATAATTGATCAAGTTACATAATGAAAAATAAAAAATCAAACAAAAAATTCAAGGACATATTATGTAATGAAAATATTATACAAAACTACAAACAAATTATGATGCATCTTTTTTTTCTTGTCATTCTTTTAAATTATTTTCTTCTTTGTTTTTTATTCTTTCTTAATCCTTATATTGATTAAACTATTTATTTATTTTATTATTCTTTCATCCTTCCTTTTTTCTTATTTTTACCTCTTTCTTGCTTATTATTTAATATCTTTCAACAATAATATTGATTTATATTTTATTTAAAACAATTTCGGTAAAGAACAAAGACATCCAAGTTAATATATAATTTATATTTGCTAAGATTAATGCTCATGGAGGAAAATAATTTGTATTATAATTAGTTTTGAAATGTGGGACCAAAAATAGATCTACATTTCATGTAAGGGATTTTAAAACAATTATACATCATAAGTGTTTAATATGTGTTTGATTTAGCGTTATGGCGTAAAATGTTTTCATCCCTTCTATTGGATACTTATAGGTATATAGGATCTACCTACTTTTACTTATAAAATATAACAATTTATGATTATAAGCGGTGAGTGATGATTTATGTAAGGAATGTCACATAATAATTGTGTTTACTTTAAATTTGTCTATTGAACAAAGTATTTGTTCAGCGGTTGATTTTGCCGAGAAGAAAAGTCTTGGTTTTCCAAAATGAATACCAAGCATCATTAATAATATTCCCGTGTACCAAAATACAGGCGATGTAATCATAAATCTTTTTTCAATCGGTTCTTCCATCAATGACCTTAAAACATTTCATGTCATAGAATTATACCAAATTACCGAACCACGTTAAATTTAAACAATATTTTTTTTAACTCATTCACTGACTTAAAAACTATAGACAGATACTCACTGCTTGAACGATATTAATGCTGATTTCATAGCATCATCCGACAGATATATTCCTTTTGGAGTTCCTGTAGTACCACTCGAATATATAATAGCACAAGGTCCAATTGGGCTTTTCGATTTTATCGGACGGACTGACGAAATTTCGTCCGCCGCAACAACGATATTCGAATAAGCAGTGAAGCCATCACGAATCATAGTAGAAATCTTCAATGTCGGTTGATGAGTGATGGTATTTAAAATGTCTGTTATTATATTTATACTAAAAGTATTACAAAACAATACGCTTGGCTTTGATTCATTAATAAGCTCTGTCAAGACACCTGTGAAATATTGTTGATGATAAATGAAACGAAACAAATCAATCTATAATATTGGTCAAAATAATAATTATTCGTTACTATTACTTTTTCTTAAACTGTGATCCAATGCAGCTATAGTAGTTCCAACTAAGATCCCAGCTAACATAACTACCTGTCCTTCGTACGAGCCATAGTCTGTAATCATTACAACGTCTCCGTGTCCAAGATCATGTTTTTGAAATGTAGTAGCCATTGCTAAAACATCTTTTTTCAATTTTGGATAACTGTACTCTTTACCGGTAGAGCAGTCGATCTATATACATTAATATGACAAACACATAAATACTATAATACATAATTATATACATGACATATAGATAGGTATGTAAAAAGAACTGTAAACGCGTAATCAGTGTACATTATAAAATATCTTACACCAAAAAGACCTTGATTGTTATTCAATTGATTTACAAACATGTCAGCTATTGTTTTATTATGTAAAATCATTTTCGGTCCAGATATGTGTATATTGAATGCCATTTTCGCTAACGTACAGAAAGCTTTCAAGTGACTGTCCGAAATTTTGGAACAGTCGGCATATTTGTAGACAAACTGATCGCGTGTTTACATTATATTATAATATTATACATATTATTGGACCTGTAAGGCTGTAATTATTGTAACTAATATTGTTGCAAATTATTGTCAATTTGTTAAGTTATTATACACTTAAAATAATATTTTAAGATAATTAAGTGTAATATTCCCATGTAAAAACTATTCGAAGGTCAGTGTTTAAATTTGCCGATTCTCAAATCTAGTTATTCAAAACTATGAACCAGTAATTATAGATACAATGAAACTGTAGTACCTATAGTCTATTATTAGAACGCTGAAATTTAAAATGAATTTAATTTTGTTCCGTTGTGATTTTTAAACAAGTTTTTAATAATCGTTAATAATGTAACATGCTGCTAACATTTGCTGATTGATCAGTGTCAGTCACGTGTGAAGGTTTTAACCTAATGGGGGCCAGTGTTGAAGTTTCATAGCACTTGAAATTGCATGAATATGCGCTATAATTTTACCTTAAATATCGCTAAATATGCGCTATAAACATTGACATTTTAAAACAAAGTTACTTAACTTTTGAGCTAAGTAGGTACAAGTTAAGACACGACAAGCAATGACCACAACTGGTTGTAGTACTAGTACACCGTATATTAGTACATAGTACACAAGTACACAACGCTTTCGACACTCGTTAGACGATAATTGTAGCCTCAAATGACAAAAAATAGGTCCTTAAAAATCGGCAGATAGCAAAAGCTTAAAATTAAAAGTTAAAACCAAATAATACGAAATGATGAACGCTTCTGCATGCAACCCTTTAGCGCTTCCGTGTTTTCGGTTTATTTAATTAATCAATATTTTATTTTTAAATTAGACAATAATCAAAAACAAGTTCTAAAAAAGTACACAATATGCAAAATTAAATTTTTAGTTTCAGTTTTCTAAATCATGAAACAAATTATAAGCTTACAAATTGAAAAATTACTCTTTTATGTCTTAAGCATTTTATAAGAAAAAAATGTATTATATTGATAACTCATGGAGGGATAAAAATCATGAGGGGCACTTAATTTCGGTTTTCAATTTGGTTAGCAGGTAGTTTCGTTTTATGACATAGAGACCCACTAAGAAAAGATTTTCTCAAATTGTAAAAAGGGTATAAAAATTGTAAACATTATTTCCTAAACTTAAATACCATAAATGTTGTGTATAAAGACGTACCTATTTGCCAGAATATAATATATAGATGTTGGTGAGTTTCTATATCACCACATAACGGAATAATGTTGGTACCTGCCGTTTTACTATAACGTTGTTATGACAACAACGTCGTAATACCTTATAATTTAGTAGAAGAGTGCCTAGAAACAATTATTTTTGATAAAACAAGCAATGATTTAATAAATAATAATATCAATGATTATGATTCCTATTCCTATAGTAATAATATTAATGGTATAATGACCTAAAGGCAATCTCTACCTGTAATATACAAACTGATAAAAAAAAATTAAAACACAAAAAGCTGCACACGGATGAAACCGGGTTAAATAGCTTGTAGGTAAATATAAAAATACAACGAATAAATTGTTGTGCAATAGTATAAAATAAATAATTACATGTAAATGTTTAGTCAACTATTATTTAGTACCTAATAAATAACAATTGGGATTCAATTAAAGTTTTTGATTTAAATTCGATGTTCAATTATAAAATAAATATATTTACAGAAATATTAAATAACAATATAAGTTTCAAATAAAGCAAATAATTAATATATGCAATTGTAACTGTGTATTTTGTATATGCATAAATCTACATTTAAATGTCTAGATTATAGTCCATGCAAACAAATCCGGCGTTCGTATCTAGAATAAATGGTTCAATTCTCCAGGGATGATTCCCGGTGGTAAGAAATATGCACGATATACAGTTCGGTCGTATTAATGGAGTGTTTAAAAATTAGGGCTCAGTTGTTGGGGTTTCGTGGGTGTTAACATAGCCCATTAGTCATATGCCTTGCTTCACGGGCTCATTCACCCTTATCAAACTATGGCACCACCGTATAGAAGGGGTGGATGACTTCATAATAGAATTACGACCCCTGGGCTATATATAAAGAAAGATATGGTGCTAGTAAAAAATGTACAGCTTTTAAATTGCAAAAATCAACCACAGAAACGAATACATGATTAATGGGCAAGCAGTAAAGTAATGGGGCGATGGCGCAAAAAAAAATAGAATTAATAAAAAAATAAGTGCGCTATAAACCACCAAAGGACCAATGATTACATACCGATGATAGCATATGATACAAATACTTAATATTAAAAGGGCATTTGAAAGCTTGAACAATGTTTAACAAAAAATAGATTGAATACTTAAAAAAAAAAGCTCGAAATCAAGATTTTCATAACAAATATGTCATATTTGTACCTTCTACAGGTAATGGACAAACCTCAGAAATGCCTGGACAAACCTCGAAGTGCCAACGGTATACTTTGTGATTAATGTAATTTTGGAAAACTCAAGTGATTATATAGGTACATTTCCACTATAGATTTTCAAAATCAAAAAATATAAAAAATAATCATATTTACAATATTAAAAAAAATATATTTCAAGTTAAAAATATTTTTGATTTTTAAAGTTACTTTTTTAACTTATTTTAATTTTTAATAACTTTTTCGTAAAATTTTAAACAACGCTTGTCCTTTAATAGTTACCTCATAATATCATATAGCAATAGTAATGTTTGATTTAATAATAACACCATCAACTTTAAATGTAATAGATTCTGAGCGCTATGTTGTTAGGAATGTATTGATTTTTCAATGATGTATTGATGTTTAAGTTTTTCCATCATCGTGTTTTGGAGACGAACGTTTGCTTTTATGTCCTACATTGAAAGTCGTTTCTTAAAAAAAGCTCGATTGAGATTAAGGTAAGAAACAGGAAATTTCCACTACTTTTTTGGGAAAATCAAACGACAATCAAAATAGAATAATTAACCAAAATATTAGTTTTTGAAAACACCAATTTATTTTACAATGACTTTAATATTATAATTTATAATGTAAATACATGTATAGTAAATAATTTAAGAAAAACTAAAATTAACTTAAAACGAATCACTAAAAAATGTATGATTATTAGTGCATATTATTATGGTTTTAATACACAATTAAAATGTTTTGTTATATATTTTGGCCATTTTAATTACATATATATTTCCATACTTTTGCTTTTATGCTACTTATAAATCCTAGCCATATAAGTTATTAGTTTATTTCAATGGATAATATTAATCTGGGAAGAACTCGTTCGCCCAAAATCAACCTTTCCTGCAGAGAAAACCATAAGGATATAAAAGGCGTGAAATACAATATTCATAGACTATTTGACTCGTAGTTGTAATGTTTTTTTATAAAAGTTTTTAGTAGGCAAAATGTATAATTTAATGTTATGAATTTTTCAAAATCATTTGCAAACACTTTACTTTACTTGTAGTAAAAAATAATGATATATTATATTATTTCAAAAAGGACTTAAATGGCTTTGGTAAAAACTAATTAATCTATAATTACGTTACTAAGTTGGTTATTATTAAATTTAAAACAATCAAATTTTACCTATAGTTATTGATCACTTTTATGTGTGTATTGTAGCTAACCTCTACTAAGATATATAAGAAAGTACTAGAAATTATAATTATTATTTTAATCACTGTTACCTGGGTAATACCTATGGGGAATAGGCTATGAGTATAGTTATTATTACTTACTTCTAAATATTATCAATATTGACAACATTTGTTTCCTAGTTTATAAATTGGCTTGGTAATCCCTATATCATAGTTTTAGTATATGGTAGTTACTTCTATTCGTATGGTTAAAATAAAGTAACTTATAAAACTATGATTTCACAGTTTTACGGCATAACAACTATGAATATTAATAAATTATAAATATTATACTCTTGTAGAATAAGAAGGAATAGTATAATCAATTTTTAACAAAATTGTTAATTAATTTAAAAAAAACTTAAGTTTCATATAATCACTAAAAAAATGAATTTTTAAGTTAGTATTTTTATCCGTTACTTTAAAGTAACGGATAAAACTCTTAGTTTAGAGGATTTAAACTCTTAGTTAAATACACTATTTACAATTTAGTAGGTAATAAATTATTACTAATAATTAACTTAACTTAACATTATACTGAATGTCGACTCAACTTACAACTAACCATACAACTTACACCCAAGCCCGTATTTAGATAATTTTGAGCCCGGAGCCAAATAATAATAATAATATATCCATTAACAATATATTATATGAAACGTACTGCCGACTATTGTTCTATATCAGTTGTGAGCCCAGGTCCATGGCTCTTCTGCAGTTCTGCCCCCCTTAAATCCGGGCTTGGAAACATCTTTGTAAAATATTAGCTAGGGCCTATGACAGATAAGTAATTTCATAAATATTTTTGTCGAACATCGTTACTTACGTAGATTTGATTAATTTTTACAATATTCAACTTATTTTCATATGTTGAAGATACAACTGCAGTCGATGAATACACTCTGACATGCTGAGCGCCGAGGACATTTTTCAATTGTATTTGTTTAATAAAAGCGATTAATAATATTAATATATCATTATAACTGCATGCAGTAGGTATACACACGTTTCGTTTCAATCCAGCTAGGATGTTATAAATAATATATTATATTATATTATACACATACGATTATATTATACACACCACATGCGCAGAGGATATTTTTAAAAGTCGAACCTCCCCAGTCCCTATTTACACACACCCAGCAGTCTGCAGGATGACTCATTATCATCGGTTGGCTCACATTATTTGTCGCCCGGCGGCGAAGAGCTTACACGTGCAGACAAACTGGCACGTGCGAGTGTATTCAACACCACCGCCGCCGGTGTACACAAAGAACGATTT